GATGGGAGTTTACCATATCATATGGTGGTAAAATGATAGTGAGTTTTTTCTCTGTGGGCCATTGATACTTGATTTTCCATAAATATGCTGCAGCTTTCTAAACTTTCTCATGCTCGATAGTTACCTTTTCTCTCGCTCTTGTTTCTTTTCCTATTTCCAATCAGGGTTGTTAAAATGAGCTTGCGGAAACAAACCCCCAGTGACTTCTTAAAGCAAATCATCGGACGACCGGTTGTGGTAAAGTTAAATTCGGGAGTGGATTATCGAGGTAATATTTTCATGCTTCATTCTTACTGTGTTAACTAAACAAGGAAATGTAACTTCATAGTGATTTTTGTTTAACCTCTTAAACATGCCCGCTAGATTGATGCTGCCACCTCTTTCTAGCTCGAGGACGGGCCCTTTGAGAGAGTGCGGGTAGCAGAAGTGCAAGGTCTGGTTGCAGTGTGAGTTGAAGGGCTCCGTCTGCTTTGAGATAAGTCTGCAAGTCCCTGGGCCTCCTTCACTCGGGCATTAGTGACGAGACCGGAGGGCAGCTTGACGCATCAGCGATGGTTTCTGCAGAGGTTCTCAAGGTTGGCATGCCACTAGGTAGTGTAATTTAGAACTTCCCATGCATGCGACCTGCGGGGTACCCAAAGACCCTTCTCTAGTTTAGTTAGAACATCTTCTTTTTTAAGAGCCCGTGGTACTCCTGAAATGCGCTTTTGTGGTGGTATTGTATTTTAAATGCCATTAAGATTACTGATTTCCTTATCTTCCAAAAACAAGATAGGTTAAATTACCTGGGCTATTTCACAGATAGAAACGACTAATTTATGAGCAGGGTTTTGTAGCCTTTTCTTGGTTGGTCTTTTGCCTAAATGAATAAGGATAATCCTCTCTGGAGCCCTCCATGATTTTAGACAGTGTTTACTAAGGCCCAGCCTGTGTTAATCACTGCATGCTTTCTCCTGGAAGATTCACAGCAGCCCTCTGCGCTCTCCTGCTGTATTGTTTCCCTCTGAAAAGGGAAGAGCTGGGTCCAAAGCTTTGCTAAGAAACCACACTCTTGTGTATCCACTGCGTTCGTTTCTTGGCTGTAACAAACCTGCAGATATATTTGGGTTTTCTTAGCTTTAGCCTGAATCCTGAGAGGGTATAAAGGTAACCATAGCCCAGTGTGTGAGCTAGGTGAGCACCATCAGACAAAGACAAGGCTCTCTACTCCCATAAAGAGCGACAGGCTGAGAAAACCCCTCAGGGACACTTTTACTCTGTCCTACAGGGTCACTATGCATCGAATTCAACTCAATGGTGTGAGTTTGGTTTGGTATAGCAATAGCGGTAAGAGTAAGTTTTACATAAATGGGATCATGCTGTTAGTGTATTTTGTTTTGTGTGTTTTATTTTCCACACTAAGTGCATTTAGTTCTATGGCAATGCACTTCCTAATTACTATATAGGAAGGAGTCCATGCGTGTGTGAACCATGGTTTATTTTTATTCTTATTTTTAGCTGGATTCCTATTAATGGATATTTAAGTGCATGTAGCAATGTTTGGGGTCATTTGGCTGCATGTCGAGCATGTGTCCCAGTACCCCTTTAGAATGAGTTCCCTGAGCAAGGATTTCTTGAGTTGGAGAGTAAGCTACGTGGCTCTCTCTCCCCCAGGATTCCAGGGCTCATCCAACCCTTGTACTAGTCCTTTCCCCAAATTTTCACTCTAATTGGCGGTAAGTGGTACCTGGTTTTATTTCTACTTATTTACCAGTGGGACAGACACTGGAAAAATGAGGCGTTCTGCTGCCGTGAATAGGTACAGCGCTGAAACCTCAGGGGCGGGCAGTCTGTTCTGCGTCAACATGGCTCCGTACGGGGCTGTGGGTTTGGTGAGTAGGGCTGACCCCGGGAAGATGGAGAATCACCATAGCTTTTCTCCTTTATGAGTTAGCTACTCCTGACTTACAGGAAAGCAAAATAGTTACACTATATTACCATAAAGAATCCTCATCTTCTGTGGTAACATTAAACAATAATAAAAAACACCTCTCTGTAGCAAGTTCTCTTTAAGTTTGGAGGAAATGTTGTCTTTATGTTATTTATATTTCATTATCCCTTGGAGGCATGAGGGAGATAAAATTCCATCCTGAGCAGTTTTTTTTTTTTAATCCTTTGATTCAATGATAGATCTTCTGATTAAAAGGTGACCATTGAACTTGGAAATGACTTTGATTTATTTTCAAATAAATTTGCCGATCTCATGTCAGATTTATTGCTCATTTCTAACTGGTTTAGATGTAAAACAATGCAACGGAAAGCAAACTGAAGTTTTATTTTTGACATTTCTTTTTTTTCTTTTAAATCATTTTATTGGGGGCTCATACAACTCTTATCACAATCCATACATAGATCCATTGTGTCGAGCACATCTGTACATTTATTGCCATCATCACTCGCAAAATTTGCTTTCTACTTGAGCCCTTGGTATCTGCTCCTCATTTTGCCCCTCCTTCCCCGCTACCCCCTCCCTCATGAACCCTTGATAATTTAGAAATTATTATTATTTTGTCATGTCTTACACTGTACAAGGTCTCCCTTCACCCACTTTTCTGTTGTCC